CGAAAAACACATATCGAAACATCGTCTTCTAACAATTTCCACTGCTGTAGTCTTGATCCAAGTAACTCTGCCTTACATTTTGGAAGTTCTAAATCTCTTACAAGATCATTTAATTCTGACTGTGTTATTTTGTGCGGTTAGTGGCATGACGTGCTCAGTATAAAATCAGGATCTCTTGACGTTGATGGCATATCTTCTTCCTGACGAATCACCCGATCGCCATGATCTGATTCGTTTTCTGGGGGTTTTGGAATAGGATTTTCGTCACTGTGAGGCACAGGTCTCATCGCAGATGGTATGTTTGGGTAGTTAATAACCGATTTTTTTTTCTTGGACATACCTGTGGCTTGTCCAACACAAGGTACCATGCAAAAGTAACAATCATTAATATGATTTGTAGGCTCTCTCCAAACCATTGGGACAGCAAAGCGCATAGACCGTTTTTTGCCATTTAACCAGCTCCTCAGACTTGAAGCACATGTATTACAGCAGATGTGGGGTGCCCACTGTTTGTCTTGATCACCTAGTTTACCGAAACAAAACTGATCTGGATTGTTTACACACTTTCGAGACATCTTGCATGAACGCTGTCAGCCAACTGAGGAAAAAATGGCTAATATAAAACAATATAATGTACACGTATGTATAACGTAACACAATCATGCCGATTACATCATCTTTCGTTGCCGAATATAAAAATGTAGCACGTGTATTCTTGTGAATTACAGTATATTAACACTGTCACAGCAGGAACACATATAATTACTGTATCTCTAAAACTTGAACTAATATTGAAAAAACAAGTTTCATTCCGGTTTTAGCACATTAAAAATAGTAATATTTTGTTGATTTTATTTAGGATATTTTTTGGCTATTGATCAGTGTAATTGATGTTCTTCAATCAACGTGTTCTGGAAATGCTCGGCAAGATTTATACTGAAAAAAAATAATTAAAAGAAAAAAACTTTTAATTAAGCCAATTAAAATATTTAGCTAACTAGTTGAATTGGTTTAAGTTTAATAAGTTTACTTGAATCTATGAACTTAATTTAATTGAGCCAAATCGCAATCCTTCCTATTTAGTTGAAATTAATGATCATTAAAAATGAGTTTATTTGCTCCAAGTAAAATAATTTAATTATAAATATTGAATTTGTTTAATTAGTTTATATAAAAGTAATGTCCTAATTTTAATGAATTATTTTATTTAGATTATATATTTGGATAATATTTGGAACCTAAACGAACAAGTTGCACCTTACTGAAATGATGTATATTATAACTGTGCTCTGACAAATCTTAGGTATCAAAAAATGTTTAAAATTAGATGTTGATATTTGATGTTTTAGAATTAAAATAAAGACTTCCGAATTTTATAGTCCTAAAAAAAATCGATGTTTCTTATTTTCAACGGCAACATTCGAATAGCGGCTCCTCGCGAAAATCACAAATGAAACTGAGGCGTCACCGGCACTGCGTCTGTCGCATACTCCCGATCTTTCACGAATTAATGCCCAAATAGGTACATGGTTTGCTGTTTTCAAGCAAATTGGTTTAATAGAAGTTTAATTTAATTAAGCAAAATAACTTAGTTACGTAGAATATCTAAAAAATGTATTATGGGTAACAACCACGTTTTTTTTAACTGTATCGGAAGGTTATTTTTTTGACATTTGAAGTTTTATAATACGAATCCATGTCATGATATCATTAAAATCGAAAATGAGACCTGTTCATCACATATGTCTAGTTCATAAAAACTTTAGGAATAGTTGGCTGATGATATTATGAAACAAATGACAAAACTATAAGTTTCCCAAGTCATTCTGTTTCCAAAAGGATGCCAAAGAATCTGTTGCGAAGAGTTTCTCATTTATTAAAACTGATGCTGTAGGGGCTGATGGAATCTCACTCATTATGATAAAATACATTTTCGCTTTGCTCTTAGACCATATTACATTTATAATCAATCACGCAATATCAACATCCTGTTTCCCTGATGCTTGGAAGCAGGCTATCATCATACCTATTCCTAAAGTAGCGATTCCCACGTCTGTGACGCAACTTAGACCAGTCGCCTTACTTCCCGCATTTTCGAAGCTTTTGTAACGGGAAATGAAGATACAAATATCTCAGTATATTTTCAGTAATGAAATAGTTCCATCAATGCAGTCTGGATTTAGGGAAAACCATAGTACAACAACTGCTCTAGCCAATGTCACTGATGATGTTATAAGAGGCCTTGATCAAGGAAATATGACTTGTTTAGTTCTGCTGGATTACACAAAAGCTTTCGATATGATAGACCCTGAAATTCTGCTACTGTCTTACTGTGGTTTTACTGATGCTGCAGTCAATTTGATAAGCTGCTATTTGTCAAATAGAAATCAAAAGGTCTTAACAGCTTCGAAAACGTCACAGTCAACTGCTATAAGTTTTGGTGTTCCTCAAGGTTCCATACTGGGACCTTAACTTTTCTCTCTATATATATATCGGATTTTCATCAATATGTCCATAATTGTACAATCCATCACTATGCTGATGATACTCAAATTTGTTTTAGTTTTCAACACAGAGATTTAAAAATAGCAGAAGCCTTGCTCAACGAAGACTTAACAAGGCTAGTAGACATCTCGTGCTCGCATAACCTAAAAATTAATCCATCTAAATCTTCAGTTATGGTTTTCGGCTCAAAAAACAAAAGAACCGTGATCGAAACGGAAATTAACCTTAAAATCTATGACTGCCGGCTTCCTATAATGAATGAGTGTAAAAACCTGGGACTCTGGATTGACACAGAACTAAAATACAAAAAACACACAAATTCGTTATGTAGTGCATCATACTGCATTTTGAAACAGTTTTATCCACATAGGCAAATAATATATACTTCAGTAAAGCTGAAACTGTGTGAAACATTTATTATATTAAAGATCAGTTATTGTGGCAGTATATATGGCGCAGCTCTATCATATAGTGAACAAAGCAAATTACAGCGTATTCAGAAATCGTGCGTCAGATTTTCTTGCGGAATGCGAAAGTTTGATCATATTTCTTATAAATTTAAGGGACTTGGTATTCTGCAGATTGAAGTCATGCAAAAGCTTCACTTATTGACACTCACACATAAGGTCTTAGCTACCAAACAACCACAACATTTGCATAATAAGTTAACACGATGTAGTGACATAAATCAACTGAATACAAGGAATAGGAATATGTTAGTGATACCCTTACATTCTAAGACTGTCTACAAAACATCATTCAGTTGCAATGCTATTAAATTATATAATGATCTCCCTGTTACATTCCAAAACTATACATTATTTAATTTCAAAAAGAGGCTTAAACTAAAACTACAAGTCTAGGTCTGATGATGAATACAAAATGCTAGAAATATGGACTATTCTTGTAATTATTCTGTTCTTTTTTTTTGTGTTGTTGATTATTTAGTAATTATTGAGAATTATGGATACATTTTTGTTGGTGGAATGTTTTATTATATATACAGGGTGTCCGCAAAGTTGGGGTTTTCCTTTTCAGAAACAACTACCCTTGAAATAACAAAGGTAATGAGTAGTGTAACGAGGGCGACCAAGTAAAAAAATAAAGGAAAAAGTACTCACTCTCCAGTTGACGAGAAGGGCTAAGTACGTCTCTGCCCGAAATCATACGGCTCCAACAGAAAATGAAATCAGCTGATGCGCTACCGAGCAGACGCAGGCAAACAAGGAAGGCAAAATGTTCCGTAGAAAGTCTAGATATTACATCCCGTCCAATCGATTTGGAAGAATAAATGGTCCAATGAGCATACCGTTCACCATGCCAGCCCAAACATTCACCGAAAATGTTTGTTGAAAATGTGCCCGACTGACAGCGTGCGGATTTTCTAACGACCAAACATGAGTGTTGCGAAAGTTATTCACCCCATTACGTGTGAACGTAGATTCGTCTGTCACCAATATGCACTTCAAAAATTCCGGATTATTGTCATGTTGATGCAACAACCACTCACAAAACCGCACTCTTGCTGGAAAATCGTCAGGTTGAAGGGCTTGTACAAGTTGGACGTGAAACGGATACAGCCCCTCTTCACGCAGCGTTTGCCACACTTCAGTTTTTGATACTTGCACTTCTCTAGCCACGTCTCTAGTGCTTGTTGAGGGATTCTCGTCTACGCGATTACCTCTACACGCGTGACCGTAACCGTCGGTTGAAGGTTGCATACTGACCTGACACACTGACCCCGATCCAGTTCTGTCGTCGGGTTGAGCTAGTGTAATAGTACCACTCGGGGATGTCGCGCTACAGGACGGTATTCAGATATTTTTGATGTTGCAGAGCCCTTTATCTTGGTTCCCTTAAGACATTGGTGTATATGGTACTAAGAAAAATTACTTATGTTTTCAGGATCTACACGTCGTGTAAAGGAAAACCCTAACTTTGCGGACACCCTGTATATATAGATATATATTTTTTGTTAAGGTTAAGGTTAAGTTGAAAAACGCTAATTTTAGCGACACTTCGCCTTTTTTGTATTTTTACTTAGGTACGAAATAAAGCCCATTTATTATTATTATTATTCTTAAGAACGTAAGAAATCGTAATTTATAACTTTGAACATAACCTGTCTTCAGAAAGGACAACATATAAATAACCCTTTGGGCACTGCTAATAGACATACCTTATTGGCAGCGTATTCAGTAATAATTTTCTCACACAGCAAATATCAGTGATTTTATACACATGCAGACCAATGCACACTATCATCTAGATGCGATTTTGCTCGTCAACCAACTTTATTCTCAGAGATGAAAAATATAGAATCGGCTTCACAAAACATATGCAACCAACAATGCGTGTAGTTGAGCCATTCCTCCATAGATGGACGCTCACAACGATCCTGATAAGCATACGTGGAATGACTGTTTGCGTCCTTTTTTGACGTTTTATAGGTTTTTTACCCGTGAGGGGAAACGCTTCGCGATCTTTTTGTCACCATGTATATTCTCGTTGGGATTCCGCGATCATAAGTAGTCGCCGTTGTGGGAAATTTAAATAATTCGCAAATTTCTAATGCATAAAATCGCTAGCTTCGAGGCCGACCTTGCTTCAGCCGCTGGCATCGGCACATCATTTTTAATTCTATAATTCTTCGTCAATCCATTTAGTTTTACAGAATTACTCATGCTCAGCGTATCGAAATCATGGAAACGCGTGAATTCTAGTGTGTTGTATTCAGTTGTTTTTTTTTCTAGTTGGTGATACAGTGCGTCTAGTGCGGAAGTTTTTCAACCGTGGCGACTGTGGTTTTAACGGAATCGTGCTATTGTGAATCGAAAACAAAAACAACATAGTTACATCTTTAACTAACTCTATATGATATGGATTATTCAACATGTTTTAGGTACAAGATAATATAACTGTCGTGACCATATCGTAGAATTGACCGTGGCCAATCAAATGAGACACTTAATAAAAAAAGAATATGTTACGAACTCATTGAATCTTCTTTAAGTACAACAAACATTTTTATTTAAACTAATAACTTTATTAAATTAGAATAATTATATTAAAACAATCTAAAATTGCACAATGTGTCACAAATAAAATTGTTGAACATACAGATGTCACAAATCAAGTTATTACCTCGCGTGGTCACTCTACTCTCCACTCTTTGACGTATAACCTAAAAATGAATTAATATTAAGATGAGTTGTACATGCGTAGAATAGTATAGTCGTTCAACAGACAAACTTATACTAAGTGACATATGAATCCGAACACCCAGTTTAAATGGTTTTATTTTAATAAAAGTTGGTGAATGTATTTATCTTACTGTAAATAACAAGTGAAAAAATTTTCAGCCTTATCAGTTGGACATTCCGGTTTTTATACTGCTTTTTTTTAATTCACTAACGCTCTAAAAATGAATATTTCAGCCGCAGTAAAGAATCAACGTTGGCGGATTTAGGTTCTTGACATCCTTTACGATCGGTTACGATGCCTAGAGTACGGAGACCTGTACGATTTCGTCAACTTAGTGAGTTTGATAGGGGCCGTATAGTGGGACTTCGGGAAGCTGGACTTTCTTTTCGGGCAATTGCAGTTAGAGTGCAAAGAAGTGTAGACACTGTGGTTAGGTGTTGTCAGGCACGGCTTCGAGAAGGCCGTACGCAAAGAGCGAGGGGCACTGGACGCCGCCGTAGAACAACAGACCGTGAAGATCGCCGCCTAAGATTATTGGCCTTAAGGGACCGTTTCTCCACTACCAGGTCCATTGCAAATGAATGGTTTGCAGAACATGGAAGACCTATAGGCATGCGAAGTGTTTACCGACGAATGAGAAGTTTTGGCTTGTTTTCATACCGGCCACACTGGGTCCTCCCTTTAACTCGAGAACACCGACGTAATCGCCTTGAGTGGTGCAGACAACGGTCACTCTGGGATCAGGAATGGAACAGTATTGTCTTTAGTGACGAGTCTCGATTTTGTTAAGATATGCACGATGATCGTGCCAGGGTTAGAAGGCGACGTGGTGAAAGGAGGAATCCACAGTTTTTTGTTGAAAGACATGTTCATCACACTGTTGGAGTTATGGTTTGGGGTGCTATAGCTTATGGTTCCAGGTCACCTTTAATCTTCATCAGAGGTAACATGAACGCGCAGCGTTATATCCACGAAGTTCTAGAACCCCATCTTTTTTACCCTATCTTGACACGCTGGCAGATCCAACTTTCCAACAAGATAATGCCCGACCACATCTTGCAAGAGTCACAATAGACTTCTTTCAACATAATGATGTCACATTGTTACCATGGCCACCAAGATCTCCCGACTTATCCCAAATTGAGCACGTGTGGGATATGATGGGTAGGAGGTTGCTCAATTTGCAACGTCCTCCTCAGACTCTAGAAGCACTTCGAGAGGAGTTGGTGGTTGCCTGGAATGAGATACCACATGAGGACATTGACCACCTGATCAGAAGCATGCCTAGGCGCGTTGGAGAATGCGTAGCACATCAGGGTGCATCCACACATTACTAAAGGTCAAAGGGCTTTAAAGCAGTGCAATCATTTTTAAATTTTTATCATTTACTTATTATGCTTCATTAAGTACTTATACGAAATTTTATTAAAATAAAACCATTTAAACTGGGTGTTCGGATTTATATGTCACTTAGTATATTATTTTAACTGACACCCGATTTTGACTTCAAATAAATGAATGATGGTGTAATTGAAGAGTGAAGTGCTAACCTGTCGCAAACTTTACGGTTTTTGGATCTTTTGATTGGTATTTGCGTGACCGGTGCGGCTATTACGTATCTTGAAAACTGACACTATGTTGATTTTTTTTTATTGTATTTTTCTACAAGATGTTAACCTAACTCTAGCTGATGAACACGTTGTGAACTCGTTATGTAGTTATACGTGCTACCTGAACGTCATGATGCTTCAGTTATCAATGTTTGGCTCTGTTGTGATGTAATATCTGCTTCAGAGATGGCATTACTGGAGGTCCAAATTGTAAGTTGCATCTCACTAAGTATTCCCGCGTTTAGTTGTTCATATCGTTAAACGATTTCTACTAAGTGACATATAAATCCGAACACCTAGTTTAAATGGTTTTATTTTAATAAAATTTTGTATAAGTACTTAATGAAGCATAATAAGTAAATGATAAAAATTTCAAAATGATTGCACTGCTTTAAAGCCCTTTGACCTTTAATAATGTGTGAATGCACCCTGATTGCTACGCATTCTCCAACGCGCCTAGGCATGCTTCTGATCAGGTGGTCAATGTCCTCCTGTGGTATCTCATTCCAGGCAACCACCAACTCCTCGCGAAGTGCTTCTAGAGCCTGAGGAGGCCGTTGCAAATTGAGCAATCTCCTACCCATCATATCCCACACGTGCTCAATTGGGGATAAGTCGGGAGATCTTGGTGGCCATGGTAACAATGTGACATCATTATGTTGAAAGAAGTATATTGTGACTCTTGCAACATGTGGTCGGGCATTATCCTGTTGGAAAGTTGGATCTGCCAGGGTGTCAAGATAGGATAAAAGATGGGGTTCTAGAACTTCGTGGATATAACGCTGCGCGTTCATGTTACCTCTGACGAAGATTAAAGGTGACCTGGAACCATAAGCTATAGCACCTCAAACCATAACTCCAACAGTGTGATGAACATGTCTTTCAACAAAAAACTGTGGATTCCTCCTTTCACCACGCCGCCTTCTAACCCTGGCACGACCATCGTGCATGCCTAAACAAAATCGAGACTCGTCACTAAAGACAATACTGTTCCATTCCTGATCCCAGAGTGACCGTTGTCTGCACCACTCAAGGCGATTACGTCGGTGTTCTCGAGTTAAAGGGAGGACCCAGTGTGGCCGGTATGAAAACAAGCCAAAACTTCTCATTCGTCGGTAAACACTTCGCATGCCAATAGGTCTTCCGTGTTCTGCAAACCATTCATTTGCAATGGACCTGGTAGTGGAGAAACAGGCCCTTAAGGCCAATAATCTTAGGCGGCGATCTTCACGGTCTGTTGTTCTACGGCGGCGTCCAGTGCCCCTTGCTCTTTGCGTACGGCCTTCTCGAAGCCATGCCTGACAACACCTAACCACAGTGTCTACACTTCTTTGCACTCTAACTGCAATCGCGCGAAAAGAAAGTCCAGCTTCCCGAAGTCCCACTATATGGCCCCTATCAAACTCACTAAGTTAACGAAATCGTACAGGTCTCCGTACTCTAGGCATCGTAACCGATCGTAAAGGATGTCAAGAACCAAAATCCGCCAACGTTGATTCTTTACTGCGGCTGAAATATTCATTTTTAGAGCGTTAGTGAATTAAAAAAAATCAGTATAAAAACCGGAATGTCCAACTGATAAGGCTGAAAATGTTTTCACTTGTTATTTACAGTAAGATAAATACATTCACCGACTTTTATTAAAATAAAACCATTTAAACTGGGTGTTCGGATTTATATGTCACTTAGTATATTATCATTGATTTGGTCAACGCACATCATGATCTGGCAACATGAAATGGTCAAATTTACGATATGGACAAGACTTAATCATATCCAGGATCCAATCTATAGCTACAGAGGGTTAGGACGATCCACTAGGTGGGTTTATAGAACTTGAACAGAGTTAATCAACATCTATCGGGTCAGAAGGAAGTACTACTAAGGCAACAAAAAGCTTCAAAAGTTAATATTTGCTCTATGGATATTTCCTTTAGGAGTGAGTTAGTTCTTGGTAGGAAGCTACAGCTTTAGTTGTCACGCAACAGCTAACCTCAATCGAATATGTGCAGAGTTCTTATGAAAACTTCAAGAAGCTTTAAAGGGTAGAATCTCAGAGATATTTCAACACAGAATGTTTGCGGTTAATTTGTCCCTAGGGTGCTGAGATTGTGGAACAGCCTGCCAGAAGGGGCTTTTCGCAGTTCTACTAGCTTTCAAAAATCGGATCGACGAAGTATCTTTAAGCTCCTTGTAGTAGACGCGGTGCTCCGGTATTTAGGCTTATGCTTAAGCGACTGCTTAAGTATAAAAAAGAGGTGAAGTGGGACAATACTCAACACTCATGTGCACTGTATCTGGAATTCGTGAAACTTCTGCGAACGTTTGAAAGATTCGTGTATTAATCGAGTTAAACGTTCGACCAAAAGACAACCAACCATGAACAGCTGTTTCATGCTATTTGGATACTCGCCAGCATAGTCTAGGATTGGTTTCTCATCTCTGGACAAACGAACGAATATCTCGCGACTATCCTCTACGGTACGGTCTATCATACCATAGATGTCGCTTTACGTTGTCTAATTTCTTCAATCGAGTGTTGTTCATCTCGCTTACGCCATATCAAAAATCAGTGTTTTGAGATCATCAAAATTCCGATTCACTCTACGTTGAAAAGGAGGAGGAAACTTGAGAGCTACACTAAGAAAAATAGTTCATACAATTAGAGGCCCGGAAATGATCCGTTTTCAACGTATAGGAGGTAAAACTTTTTTTCAATAGTCAATCTTTTACCCATAAGTGTCGCAGAAAATTTAACTAAAATCTTTTAATATAAATTGTTATGTCTAGATTTAAAGCGGCTATTTTTAGTTATTTCTTTTTTCTTTATTTATGCAGTAGAAGTAGTATTAGTATTTATTGGCCATGTTGATACATAGATGTATGCCGTATGGCAGGTCAATACAAAGAGAAAAATAAATAAGCAAATAAATAAACAAATAAAAGGTAACAGCAAAAAACTTATAGATACAAAGTAGCTTCAACATGCTGTGACATGCACAAATATTGGAAAAATTATATTTCTGTACCCCAGAGCCAGACTACGTTAAGTCCATTTTTGTCAAAAGTTAGTTTAATATGTATAGCTTATGATAATATTGTGAATTTTCATTTGCTAGATGCAGCGTCCATCTGTCTTTAATAATAAGGAAGTTACGACTTTTTGACTCATATCAAGTCGTATTCAATACAATGCAAGAAAAATATTCCATAAATAGTTATCTCAAAACTACTTATTTCGACTCAACTTAGGCTGGCTCTGAGGTACAGATTTAATATTATATTATTTCTCCTTGTGTTCTAAAAATTCATCAAAATTCGCCCTTCACCTGATAAAAACGATTTCACTTCATATTTAAAATGTATGTGGTTTGGCTTTGATGACGCTTCATTCTTATTCGATTTGATCTAAATTATTGGCGATACGTCTGTACCTTCTCAATTTCAACAAAATCTAGCAAAATCAGGTTAAGAGGAAAAACAAATACGAAAACCTGACTGCTGCAACTGAAAGGAATAAATTTTTAGTTCTGCCATCAAGAAGAATCTAAGGACAACTTAAATGTCAAACTCCATCCGTACTACGTGTCTATTCGTCATTGTCCGTCAGAGCGGTCCGTGGGACCTTCGCTCTTTGTTAAAGTATCGTAGGTCAGTAGGTCAGTCGGGTCTGGTTGCCCAGATTCCAGACGAAGTCAGAGAGAAAGAAAGGACGAAGAAAGAAAGGAAGGAAGGGGGAAGAGCAAAGAGGGTGAAGTGCGCCGGTTAAAGGGATGCCTTGCTATTGTTAACTGGTATTCGGTTATTTTAAATTATTCCAAAAATTATACTAAGTGACATATAAATCCGAATACCCAGTTTAAATGGTTTTATTTTAATAAAAGTTGGTGAATGTATTTATCTTACTGTAAATAACAAGTGAAAAAATTTTCAGCCTTATCAGTTGGACATTTCGGTTTTTATACTGCTTTTTTTTAATTCACTAACGTTCTAAAAATGAATATTTCAGCCGCAGTAAGGAATCAACGTTGGCGGATTTTGGTTCTTGACATCCTTTACGATCGGTTACGATGCCTAGAGTACGGAGACCTGTACGATTTCGTCAACTTAGTGAGTTTGATAGGGGCCGTATAGTGGGACTTCGGGAAGCTGGACTTTCTTTTCGGGCAATTGCAGTTAGAGTGCAAAGAAGTGTAGACACTGTGGTTAGGTGTTGTCAGGCATGGCTTCGAGAAGGCCGTACGCAAAGAGCAAGGGGTTTCTCCACTACCAGGTCCATTGCAAATGAATGGTGTGCAGAACACGGAAGACCTATTGGCATGCGAAGTGTTTACCGACGAATGAGAAGTTTTGGCTTGTTTTCATACCGGCCACACTGGGTCCTCCCTTTAACTCGAGAACACCGACGTAATCGCCTCGAGTGGTGCAGACAACGGTCACTGTGGGATCAGGAATGAAACAGTATTGTCTTTATTGACGAGTCTCGATTTTGTTTAGGCATGCACGATGGTCGTGCCAGGGTTAGAAGGCGACGTGGTGAAAGGAGGAATCCACAGTTTTTTGTTGAAAGACATGTTCATCACACTGTTGGAGTTATGGTTTGGGGTGGTATAGCTTATGGTTCCAGGTCACCTTTAATCTTCATCAGAGGTAACATGAACGCGCAGCGTTATATCCACGAAGTTCTAGAACCCCATCTTTTACCCTATCTTGACACCCTGGCAAATCCAACTTTCCAACAAGATAATGCCCGATCACATGTTGCAAGAGTCACAATAGACTTCTTTCAACATAATGATGTCACATTGTTACCATGGCCACCAAGATCTCCCAACTTATCCCCAATTGAGCACGTGTGGGATGTGATGGGTAGGAGATTGCTCAATTTGCAACGTCCTCCTCAGACTCTAGAAGCACTTCGAGAGGAGTTGGTGGTTGCCTGGAATGAGATACTACAGGAGGACATTGACCACCTGATCAGAAGCATGCCTAGGCGCGTTGGAGAATGCGTAGCACATCAGGGTGCATCCACACATTATTAAGGGTCAAAGGGCTTTAAAGCAGTGCAATCATTTTTAAATTTTTATCATTTACTTATTATGCTTCATTAAGTACTTATACAAAATCTTATTAAAATAAAACCATTTAAACTGGGTGTTCGGATTTATATGTCACTTAGTATAATTTCATCATCATCATAATTTTGATTGGCTCTAGAATTGCACGATTTGATATTGATCACAGCGCGATCCGCGGTCTTGTGTGCTTGCGAACTTGCTCGACTGTGTAGTCTACTGACTCACGCAATTGAGGGTTGCTGTGCGATTCCGCTTAACTATAACGTAACTGCGCCTGATTTTTGATGTAGTCCTTTAGGTAAGGGATGTCGAGGTCTCTGTGAAGGGTCTCGTTGGAGACATACCACGGTGCGTTAGAGATGGTACGCAAGGTTCTGTTCTGCAAAACCTGCAGATTACGCATATGCGTTTTGGCAAGAAAACACCATGCTGCACATGCGTAAGTGATTGCTGGTCTGATAACCGTCTTGTATAGCCGAACTTTATTGACCAAATTTAATTTTGAGGTTCTACATAGTAAAGGGTAGAGTTGCCGAAACGTAATTTGGAATTTAGTTTTTAGCGCTTCAGTTTGATTCTGCCAGATCATTCCCCATGTTATGCGAGCTCCATTCACTGACATCTCAGGCGGGGCGCCGCTACGTTTTTCCGTACAAAAACCTTGAAGCTCTGCTGGTGTGCAATGCGGGATCTCGGGAGAAGCCGCTGATGTGCTGTGCAACTCTTCAGCAGAAGAATCTTCCGAAAAAGAATCTTCCGAGGAAGAATCACTAATGGCGGCGCCGGTGCCGGGAGCACTGACGCCGTCGTCCCAAAAATATCTCCTGATCTTAGGATTTGTTGCTCCTCGTCGAAATCATTATCATGATCATAGTTGGGAGAGAACTGTCGTTCCATAGCATCAGTGAAGACCTCGACGTTGTCCTCTGTCCTGAAGACTATGCCCCCAGGACCGTGGATGTGCGGGAGTTGTTCCCGCTTTTTCTTTCTGAGCCATCCGTACTACTCTTTTGACGATGACTTATTTAGCGTTAATTGGGCTGAAGTTATTTATATGGCTAATATCGATGAGAAAGTAAAATTTATTTCCGATAACATTGTAGGACTTTTTGACATACATGCACCACTAAAAACAGTGAGAGTATCTAAGCCTCGTGCACCATGGCTCACAAACAATTTGAAAATGATAATGAAAGAACGAGATAAGGCTTTTCATAAATATAGACGGTCTCGAACGGATGCGAATCGAAATCATTACAATGAACTGAGAAATTTTACCAAACTGCTACACGTGCAGAGAAATCAGGTTACCTTCAACATCTATCTCGACAAAGAAACTCTGCAGCTCTTTATAAAGCTCTTAAGTCATTTAGAATTCAGGATTCTAATAATACTGACATTCCGGATGACTTAGCAGTTCCCAATGAAATAAATAACTATTTTACCAGTATATTCCAGAAAAGTGACGATGATTGCTCGGAAACTATCGAATTTTATAGCCATAACAAATTAAACCAAGATTTTCATTTTCAGTTCCATCTTGTCGATATATCTACAGTATTGGATGCTATTCGCAGTATCAAGTCCAATTCTAGTGGTATTGATGGCATTACCATTGAGATGATTAAATTGTGTCTACCTGCTGTAGGAATATACATTTTGCACTTAATAAATTGTTGTTTAGAGCGCGGTGTTTTTCCAAGTGCTTGGAAGGAAGCATTAGTGCAACCTCTTCCAAAGATTCCCAATCCCCAGGTTCCTGGTGATCTCCGACCTATTAGCTTGCTGTCAGCTCTTTCAAAAATTCTAGAAAAAATTGTTTATATGCAGTTGAATGAGTATTTACTCGAACGAAGCATTTTGCCATTAAATCAATCAGGCTTTAGAAAGGGTCACAGTACCACTACCGCTTTGGCACGGGTTTGTGACGATGTACTAACAGCGGCGGATAGGCAAGAAGCAACTGCATTAGTCTTATTGGATTTCAGCAAGGCTTTTGACACCCTGAATCACAAGCTGTTAGTTTCTAAATGTAAATACATTGGGTGTGACGACTTGGTTCTGGAATGGATAGATTGCTATTTAAATGAACGACATCAATATGTCGTCATACAAAATAAACTTTCAGACAAAAGGCCGATTTGTTCCGGCGTGCCTCAGGTCCACTTTTATTCCTTATATACACCTTTGACATTTCTAACACCCTTCAACATTGTTCTAGTCAATCATATGCTGATGATATGCAGGTTTTTCATAATTTCTGTCCGAACAACTACCATTTAGCTAACAACCTTATCAATCAAGATCTGCAATACTTATGCACATACGCTGCAAAACATAATTTACGTCTAAACGCATCGAAATCGACAGCTATACTTTTTTGCTCCAAGAAAAAACGTACTTACCTCAAATCAAAGTTAAATTTATCACTAAATAAAAGTATCCTAATATTTTCCCATTCTGCAAAAAATTTAGGTTTGTACTTGGATGAAGATTTCAGATTACAGGAGCATGTTGGCTATGTGTGTAAGTCTAGTTATTTTAGACTCAGGCTTCTATATGCAAGTAAAACTGTTTTAAATAGAAAATTAAGAAAATGTTATGCGAGTCACTCATACTCAGTAAAATCGCTTACTGCAACATAGTTTATTATCCCTGTCTGGATGAGATCACAAAATACAGGCTGCAAAAAATTCAAAACTCATGTAGTCGTTACATAAACAATTTAAGAAGGTAAGATCATGTTTCTCACTCAATATCTTCAATGAATTGGTTGAAAATTTCTGATCTTTTCAAATACAACTTTGTTACATTTGTCGTAAAAATATTAAAAACTTCTGTTCCCGTTTATCTTATGCAAAAGCTTGTTCGTAGGAATTTAATTCACAATTTGAATACGCGCAACATTAATCTCCTGACAATGCCACAACATAGGACAGCCATTTTTCAACGGTCTTTTATGTATAATGCGGTGAAATTGATCAACTCTTTCGAACAATGTTTCATCAGCAACTTTTCTAAAAAAAAATATAAAAACTACTTATTGAGCTCTTAGGTTATTGCCCTCTCTTTGAATCGTACGTACTATGTTTTTTGTTCTAATCGTACGCATTATGTCATATTTATTAATTCTTCTTTTACTATTATTCTTTTTTTCCTTTTCTTTTTCAGTTTTTTTTTTATTTTATTTTGAAGGTAGTAATAAGCATTGACATTTATGGTTAAGTATAAATGGCCATTGGCCAGACTTCGCCATTTGTAAGGATACATAATTATGTATGTGTTACAATAAAGTCCATTGAATTGAATGGAATATAACCCTTGAAATAGAAATTCCAACATTGAATTTTAATATCCGCCATTTCGATTTTACGAAATTTGGTATACATATACCCATCAACTCGTTTGAGCCCGTGAAATACACATAAGGAAAATAGATCCCAGAAGATTTGTCTGAAAATTCAGAATAAGATATTTCTCGCGCTCCTGAACAAAAGTTCTCGGTGCAACGAAGCAATGGTGTGATAAGTATCTGAAAAATAGGGGGATGAAGTTTATCGATTATCAGAAATGGTGAATGTGTACATGTACGCGGCTCTCCCTGCAGACATTCGTCGGAAAATTTCTGACAAAAGAGCTGCAATTAAGCAAGCGAAGAGGTCTTGTCACCCAGATGACATTCACAGAGCAACTAATCTTGTTCATGAAGTGAGAAATGCTCTTCATGAATTCCGTAATGAGCAATGGAGCGACTTTTTGTCGGGGATCCTTGACTGAAATATTCCTCTCTGGAAAGTTGCAAAGTCGCTCAGAAACGGAAAGCGAGAACAACTCCCGCACATCCACGGTCCTAGCGGCTTAGCCTGTAGGACAGAGGAAAAGGTCGAGGTTTTCGCTGATGCAATGGAAAGTCAGTTCTCTCCCAACTATGACCTTGATAATGACCTCGACGAGGAGCAACATATTGTAAGTTCCGTCAGGAGATATTTTAGGGCCAACGGCGTCAGTGGCAGTAGCGCCTCCCTTAGTGATTTTTCCTCAGAGGAATCTTCAGAAGATTCCTCAATTGAAGAGCTGCACGGCACATCAGCGGAATCTCCTGAGACTCCGCATTGCACACCAGCAGAGCTCCAAGGTCATATTAAAGTCCTCAAGGTGCAACTTTTGAAATCCTTTCTCGAGGGTAGGAAATTTCAGATCAAAATTAATAACGTTCTGTCGAGAACACGGCTCATCAAAGCCGGTGTTCCTCAGGGTTCGGTTCTTGGGCCAGTCCTTTATTCACTCTTTATTCATAACGACTCTTGCCCCAGCAGCTGTGAAACCTATCTCAATGCTGATGACACTGCCCTGGTGGCCCAGTCGTGCTCTCGGGATCTAGTTCACGACAGGCTGCAAAGTGCAGTGGACGAGGTATTGGAATGGGCGAATCGGTGGCTGATCAAAATTAATCATTCGAAAACGCAGGCAATCTATTGTACTAAAAAACGTAGCGGCGCCCCGTCCGAGGTTTCAGTGAATGGAGCTCGGGTACCATGGGAAAGCTCTGCTAAGTATCTCGGTGTCACTCTTGACAAGGGGATAACCTGGCAGAAGCACACTGAAGCGTTAAAAACTAAATTCCAAATCTCGTTTCGGCAACTCTACCCTATGCTATGTAGAACATCAAAATTAAGTTTGATCAACAAAGTTTGGCGATACAAGATGGTTATTAGCGATCACTCACGCAAGTGCGGCTTGGTGTTTTCTCGCCAAAATGCATTTGCGTAGCCTGCAGGTGTTGCAGAACAGAACCTTGCGTACAATCACTAACGCCCCATGGTATTTTTCCAACGAGACCCTTCACAGGTACCTTGACATCCTTTACCTGTGCGACTACATCACACAACTAGCGCAGCTACGTTATAGTCAAGCGGAATCGCATAACAACCCTTTGTTGCCCGAGTCAGTAGACTACACAGTCGAGCAAGTTCGCAAGCAAACAAGACCGCGACTCGCACTGTGAACAAAATTAAATCGTGCGACTTTAGGTCCAACCAAAATTATAATTTTTCTTCAACAGCCAATCCCAAAATTAATTTTAGGATCAATTTAAAATTGCCGAATACTAACTAGCGATGCCAAGGCACCCCTCAAATCGATGTACTTCTTTTTTCTTTGCTCTCCCTCCTTCCTTCCTTTCTCCATCCCTTCTTTCTCCCTGACTTTGTTTCATGTCAGGACAACCAGACCTGACAGACCTACTGACTTACAAGACTTCAACCAAGAGCAAAGGTCCTACGGACCGCTCTGACAGACAATGACGAATAGTGTGAATAGTGTATGTACGCGGCTTAGAGTTTTCGAAAAAAAAAAACGTTATTGGATTCTGGATATGAATATACGCTATTTTTTGTTCGCAACCATGTCAACGGTACAACAGATCTTAGTCTAACCTAGATTTAAAGTAAGCGGGTGAAATTCAATGTATGTTCAATATAATCTAATAAAGCTTTGAGCTATGACAGACAGAATTGTGAGATATATTAGTGAAAAGCAGAGTGTTAGTGCTGTGTAGAAAAACATTACATAGTCAAAAATGGTGAAGATTTATTTGCTGATCTGGAGCTTTACCTGGGTGAGTTACTTTTCTTTATTGAATAACCTTCTGTTGCTAATACAAAAAAAACATTGTATTTTGAGCACCTGATAACACTGGACAACAAATTTTAGATTTTTAATTGTATCTTGTGGGAAAAGTGCACTTCTTTGTTAATTTTGGGGCGCTGAATCCAAAAATGACAATGAAATAAAAAAATTAGTTGCGGTTTAGAAAAAAAACTTTTTATTTTTAAGGATATATTAAAAAAAGTATCAAGATTCATATACTTATAAGAATCACTATATGCGCTGTCTTTTTGCTGTTCTTTTATGGATCGTTTCTGGAGCATCTCTACCAAGAGTCCAACAGTAGTCTGCAAGCATGGAAGGATTTCACTTTCCCTGGTACTTTTTTTCCATTGTTGAAATATTCTGATGAAAACGTTCGCCGTGCTCATCACTTACGGCTCCACAATTGTCAGGAAAAAAGTCCAGGTGTGAGAGTATGAAATGTATCTTAAGAGGCATATTACAGCCCATCTTTTGATACGATGACAGCATATTTTTGACAAGGGTTTTATAGTTGTCAGCTTTTCTATTTCCCAAGAAATTAGTGACCACCAGACGGAAATCATTCCAAGCAGTTTTTTCAATACCTGTTAAAGTGTTTTCAAACTGTGTATCTTTCAAAATATTTCGAATCTGTGGCCCAACAAAAATACCTTCTTTAACCTTTGCCTCACTTAGTCTTGTAAATTTCTGACGCAGGTATTGAAAAGCTGACCCATCTCTATCTAATGCCTTGACAAAGTTTTTCATTAGGCCCAACTTGATATGCAGTGGTGGTAATAAAATTTTTTTCGAATCTACTAATGGCATATGCTGTACATTTTTTTGACCTGGCTCTAGGAATTGACGAACAGGCCAGTTTTGTCTGGTGTAATGAAGTGCCTTTGCCCGACTGTCCCATTCACACAAAAAACAGCAAAACTTTGTGTAGCCTAGCTGCAGCCCAAGTAAAAGTGCAACAACTTTCAAATCGTCACAAATATGCCATCGGTGCTCATCGTATTTTATGCATGTCAATAGGTACTTCATATTGTCATATGATTCTTTCATGTGAACTGCATACCCTACAGGAAGAGATGGTAAAATATTTCCAATATGCAATAACACTGCCTTTAAACTCAATGTTGAACTTTCTATAAACAATCTCCATTCTTCTGGGTTATAGTTTATATTTAAAGCCGCCAGTAAGCCGTTAATGTTACTGCAGAAAACCAAGTTATTCTCCATATTGAAAAATGGTTCTAAGTCTTTGTGGCGTTTACGAAAAACACATACCGAAACGTCGTCTTCTAACAAGTTCCACTGCTGCAGTCTTGATCCAAGTAACTCTGCCTTACATTTTGGAAGTTCTAAATCTCTTACAAGATCATTTAATTCTGACTGTGTTATTTTGTGCGGTTGGTGGCATGACGTACTCGGTATAAAATCAGGATCTCTTGACGTTGATGGCATATCTTCTTCCTGACGAATCACTCGATCGCCATGATCTGATTCGTTTTCTGATTCGCAAGTGTAGGATTCTGGGGGTTTTGGAATAGGATTTTCGTCACTGTGAGGCACAGGTCTCATCGCAGATGGTATGTTTGGGTAGTTAGTAACCGATTTTTTTTTCTTGGACATACCTGTGGCTTGTCCAACACAAGGTACCATGCAAAAGTAACAATCATTAATATGATTTGTCGGCTCTCTCCAAACCATTGGGACAGCAAAGCGCATAGACCGTTTTTTGCCATTTAACCAGCTCCTCAGACTTGAAGCACATGTATTACAGCAGATGTGGGGTGCCCACTGTTTGTCTTGATCACCTAGTTTACAACCGAAATAAAGCTGATATGCCTTTGTTATTAGTGGAGTAATAGACCGTCTCTGAGACGCAAAAGTCACATCACCACACACGTAACAAAACTGATCTGGATTGTGTACACGCTTTCGAGACATCTTGCATGAACGCTGTCAGCCAACTGAGGAAAAAATGGCTAATATAAAACAATATAATGTACACGTATGTATAACGTAACACAATCATGCCGATTACATCATCTTTCCTTGCCGAATATAAAAATGTAGCAGGTGCATTCTTGTGAATTACAGTATATTAACACTGTCACAGCAGGAACACATATAATTACCGTATCTCTAAAACTTGAACTAATTTTGAAAAAATAAGTTTCATTCCGGTTTTAGCACATTAAAAATAGTAATATTTTGTTGATTTTATTTAGTATATTTTTTGGCTGTTGATCAAATATTCTCTGTAAAAAGCTTAGATACTTTGGCATGTCATCATCGGCTTGCACGCTGATTAAGAGCTTTTTAACTGATCGCTCACAGTCTGTCATATATGAAAACAATATATCAACTTCTTTATTCAGAAATTTTGGGGTCCCTCAAGGATCTATTTTGAGTCCCCTTTTATTTGCTCTTTATATATGTGATTTTCATGAAACCGCCAGCAACTCAATCGTTCATCATTACGCCGATGATACCCAACTTTATAACTGCTTCGATCCTGATGAATATATGCTTGGCCAACATCAAATAAATCAAGACCTGCAGTCTATTTTTGACATATCTAGTGCTCACAATCTAAAACTAAATCCTGGCAAATCATGCTGCATTTTATTTGGGCCCAAAAAGAATCGTGAAATAAATCAATATCGCATTAATATTAGGGTGAATAATGAAGACGAATGCAAAAACCTTGGTATCTGGTTTGACTGCAAGCTACGCTTCACTAAACATGTTAACCAACTATGCAATGCGTCCTATAATGTGCTTCGTCAGTTATACCCGAGTCGAAGTGTCCTGTCGACACAGCTCAAGCTTAAACTCTGCGAGTCCCTTATCCTGTCAAAATTATCTTACGGTGACTCTGTTTATGGACCTGCTCTTTTACAACGTGATGCCGAGCGGATTCAGATGATACAAAACTCATGCATCAGATTTTCTTATGGAATCCGTAAATTTGATCATATTATTAGCGCTTTTGACCAATCGGGATGGTTTAAGATGAACAAATTGAGGACACTGCATTGCCTATCTCTGGTACATAAGACCCTTTCCTTAAAGCGCCATATTATCTTTATACAAAACTAAGCCTCCTCTGCCAGTACGATCAAAGATCCTCTAGGAATAAACTCATCTTACTTATCCCGCGGCATTCGACAGCATTGTTCACACGCAGTTTCTCGTACTGGGCACTCAAACTATATAACTGCTTATCAAGTGAGTATAAAGAATATAGCCTAAGCAATTTTAAAAAAAGGTTAAAGATGATTTTAAAGCAGTCGGATGGCTAAAATTTTACTTTATGCATATCCACAGGTAATTGATTGTTTCCTTTCTCTGATAAGTGTTATATTCTAAGTTTTTGTTTTCTCTCTCTCTCTATAGTTTGTGTCAATGTTTTCCAGGTCGGGTTGTAAAACAGCATAAGCTGACACTCCACCTTTTCGTCACTGTTCCTTTTAAACCAATTATTTTAAACCAATTATTTTGTAATCGTGTGACGAATAAAGGCCATTTATTATTATTATTATTATTATTATCAGTGTAATTAACTAATAAAACAGCGCAAAACGCCATCTATAACCAGGATAGACCAAGCCCCGAGCATGCTGATGTGTAGTCAAGAAGCATTAAACAGCTGTCCACGGTTGGCTGTCTCTTGGTCGGACCTACGAAAGCATCATGTTTAATAATTTAATAGTTGGAGATACCAGAGTTGCGATAATGTAATTGAAATTTAACGATCCCATGATATTCGCTCGGAAGGTATAATAAAAACAGTGTATATAAGAACACAGATAAAAGAGTAATTTTAATGGCCTCAGTTAAATCACAGCTATACGTAGATTGGAGCGTCGGTGTATCGTAATACCTCAAAGGTAATGACCAATACCGCTCACGCAAACCGTTACGGAAGCGGTAAAGGTAACCTTTTATCTTCTATTCGTCATTGTCTGTCAGCGCGGTCCGTAGGACCTTTGCTCTTGGTTAAAGTCTTGTAAGCCAGTAGGTCTGACAGGTCTGGTTGCCCAGATACCAAACAAAGTCACGGAGAAAGAAGGGAAGAAGAAAGAAAGGAAGGAGGGAGAGCAAAGAAAAAAGAGGGGTGCCTTGGCATTGCTAATTAGTATTCGGCAATTTTAAATTGATCCTAAAATTTTGTTGAAGAAAAATTATAATTTTGGTTGGACCTAAAGTCGCACGATTTAATTTTGTTTACAGTGCGAGTCGCGGCCTTGTGTGCTTGCGAACTTGCTCGACTGTGTAGTCTACTGACTTAGGCAACAAAGGCTTGCTATACGATTCCGCTTGACTATAACGTAGCTGCGCTTGTTGTTTGATGTTGTCCCTTAGGTAAGGGATGTCAAGGTCTCTGTGAAGGGTCTCGTTGGGGACATACCATGGGGCGTTAGTGATTGTACGCAAGTTCTGTTCTGCAACACCTGCAGGCTACGCAAATGCGTTTTGCCAGAAAACACCAAACCGCACTTGCGTAAGTGATCGCTAATAACCATCTTGTATAGCCGAACTTTGTTGATCAAACTTAATTTTGATGTTCTACATAGCATAGGGTAGAGTTGCCGAACGAGATTTGGAATTCAGTTTTTAGCGCTTCAGTGTGCTTCTGCCAGGTCATCCCCTTGTCAAGAGTGACACCGACTTAGCAGAGCTTTCCCATGGTACCCGAGCTCCGTTCACTGAAACCTCAAACTGGGCGCCGCTACGTTTTTTAGTACAATAGATTGCCTGCGTTTCCGAATGATTAATTGTGATCAGCCAGCGATTCGCGCATTCCAATACCTCGTCCAATGCACTTTGCAGCCTGTCGTGAACTAATGGGTGATTTTTTTGCTAGTATCTTTTTGGCAACACTGTTTTTGACAGATGACGCGTGAATCGTGTCTTATGTCATTGTCAAACTTGTTCAGTTTGGTCTATAATGTAACCATGAATCGACTTAC